CATAGAATGCATAATATATGCACATAACACACAAATAAAGTGTTACATATGCAAACACAGATAAAGTATTACATATGCATATACTACAAGATATAATATACTGGATTTAATATGTGGTATATATTAATTAGCACACAAAGGTTTCATTATGACATTTTTAAACACAATTTGTTTTACGGATCTTCTTCTCTCTCCTTTCCCCTATATCTGCCTTCCCCTCTTTGACTCTTCTCACCCCTTGTAGAATCTTTCAGTTTTTACATTGGTCACACATGTTCTACCATCCCTCCTCCCTCCACCATACCCCACTTCCTCAACACCTCTTTTTGTTCAAAAAGTCAGTTAGTTTCACGGGAGCCCAGCACGAGAGTGACAGTGAAATTCCCTTCCAGCTGCAAAAGCAAATTAACCTAAAAGAATGATAAAGTATGTTTTTGAAATGTAAATTTTGTATCTATGAATTACATACAACTTTGAAAAAGGATTGTTTCCAACAATCAGTTCAATGCATGCAATACATGTTCAATAAACAGCACCTGTTTTTAAAAGATCAAATTAGAATCTAGGGTTTAGGGAAAGAGAAAATGAGCTAAGTCTGCTAGATTACCCCTCTCCTTTCCTCGGTAGACAATCTGGAAAACATTGCCCAAATCCAAGAAAGCCAACAGTCTGAACATTCCGACTAACAAAAGGAGCACCCTGTTTTTGCCCAGTTGGCACTGTAGCCCTGACTACAGACTGTGTAAAATTGTCAGCGTTCCTCCCGTACTGTGTGTAACACTTTCAGCAAAGGAACAGGGGTGTGAGGATGTCTCTTGGACATAACAATCTCACTTCTGGCAGATATACACAGAACCAAACTGCTGGATGATACCTCCATAAGCTTCTCCACAAAGGCTGCACTGACCGACAAAACCACCAACAGAGGACAAGCATTCTTGTTGCTCCGCACCATCATCAATAGTATCCAAGTTTGCCAGTTCCACCTCAGTAGGACTGGCAGAGGAAGTCACAACAGTTCTTGCCCATCTTGCACAAGGCAGTGGATTCCTTCACAAGCACAGGGGTTGTGAGAGGATTAGTGGTTCTTTCTGGGGTAGCAAAGACTACAAGGATGTACAGGTGTACCCCCAGAGTGTGGCAATGATGTTTACCCCAGAGTGTGGCAATGAACCGGGAAATACAAGTGCCATTCTCTGGGAATCATCTATTGCAGCTCATGGCAATACAGGACAGCACTAAACCCTGGATTCCGGACCGTGCTGGGGTTCTTTGGGACATGAAGACATTCCAGTGCGTGCCCCCTCTTTATATGTCTCTGAGCTCTCAGGCCCTTAGGAGACATCACGCAGACATCACCCAGACAAGGCTGTACCAGTGATCCTGTTCCCACCAACAAATAAATTCTTTTACCGCTCATGTTGCCAAGTACCTTCCAAAAGCTGAAGAGGAAACAAAGACACAAAAGGCACAACCCTTGCCCTGTCTGCCTTTGTGAGGAGCTAGGGCAGTTCCACGAGAGGCAGTAAAAGAGGAACAGCAGAAAAGGTGCCTACCCTACACTAGGCGGGAGAGAAACACAAGGAGAAACAAGTATGGAAGACAACAATGTGATGACTTAGAATGTATACTACTAAATGAGCTATCCAATCTCAGAAAGGAAAATACTGCATGCTGTCTCTCATTTATGGAAGTTAGCCAATACCATATGTATACATGTGAACAAAAGCCACACGAGTCCAGTACACCATGCAGAACAGAACAAGAAGGCTAAGTAATATGGGATGAGGAAGGAGGAAATGCAGATGAAGGCCATGAATATGAAAGAGAATAAAAAGTTAATTGTTTTTCTAGTTCTGCCTTTACCGTGGATATTTTTATTTGGAGGTGGATATGTGCAAAAAATAATATTCAATAGAGAAAGTATAAAATTCAATGTAAAACTCCATAACTCCCATCTCCGGTGGCTACTCTAATTGTATGGAAGTTCACCAGGTTGTAGAGTTTTGGGTCAGACTGATTTGGATGTGTAATCTTATTTTTAATTCTCTATTTTTAAAGTAATAAAGTTTAAAATAGAAGATAGCTGGATATGGTAGTACATGCCTTTAATCCCAGCAATTGGGAGTCTGCAGCAGTTGGATCTCTGTGAGTTTGAGGCCAGCCTGGTCTACACGGTGAGTTCCAGGGCAACCAGAACTATGCAGAGAGACCCTATCTCTAAAATTAAATTAAATAAAAATTAAAAGACTGAAATGATCCTCAAAAGCAAATGTTCTCCTCGTCATTACTGTGTGTTTAGTTCAGATATTGCAACCAGTCAGCATGTGTGTAGACATACAGCTTTTCTTTCTTATAAAAATGAAAAATAATGTATTTAACTATAACCTTGAAGAAAGACTTTATAATCTTATTGCAATAGTTAATGTTCATCCATTCATAAGAATAAATTTATGTTTCGTTTAATTAACTGTATAGTTAAGTAAATTTCTTATTGGTTAATTTATTTATGTTGCTATGTAAATATTTTCTTTGAATAAATCTCTGCTTAAAGAAATACTGGTTCAAAACTTACGTACTTCTCTTGGAATATATATGCATGTGTGTATATACAAACATATGCATTACATATGTATACAGGTATTTCTTTCTGTGAGTGTGTGTGTGTGTGTGTGTGTGTGTGTGTGTGTGTGTGTATAAGAGAGAGAGAGATGGAGACAGAGACAGAGAGAGCTGCATGCATTGTAACTGTCCTTGAGTTAAGTGGCTGCAGTGTGCATTTCCATGAGTCGTAGGTCCTGAAAACTACCTGCTAATCTTGTAGGTGGGAAGTTGCACTGAATTCTTGCTGGGTCTCTGTGTTTACATTATCCACAGGAATAACATATTTTTTTAAAGGCATCTTTATTGGTAATTGATTCCTAACGTTGTAGCTGCGGACTTGGCCTTCACTCGCCTTTCTAGTGTAGTCTCCTACTTTACCCCATTTGATTGACGCAAATCCTTCCTATCTGAAGGCTGTTATACTCTCCCCATCATATAGGAAATGGATATTTTTCCTAAATTAGTGACTTACATTTCTATTTTATTTTCGTAATAAGTTTTAAAAGCTATGTAATCAAGTCCCTCAAGGTTTGATTTAGCTCATCTCCTTGTCATGTCTCATCCGAGTGTGCATTCACATTGATTTTCTCCTATTACTTTATTTTCCAACCTTCATATCCATATTACTCTACATGGAGAGACTACAGTTAAATTGAATGTAACTTTTACAGAAACCACGTGGTAGAGTAAATCACCGCCATCATACTTTAATTGCCTTATGGTGTACCTTTATGTTAAACTTGGAGACGGGCTCTATGGGGAAATTTCTCAGCAGCTCTTTCCACATCTACATGCTGAATATTCAGTATCACATGGAATGAAATCTCGTTAATGCTGTAGCTGACATTATCACATCTTTTCTGGTCAGCATGTGCATATATATATACTGGATACTTTTTTTTTTGCCATCTCGGTTAGATTTCAGATGTCACATGTATCAGCAGAGTAACTTCTATCCAGCCTGAGCCTGCAGAAATGTCCATGAAAAGCTTATCATCAGAGCCACACGGTTTATCACAATCCTGGACATTTGGTAGACAGTCCCTCAGGGGCTTCTGTGTGTAATTTTCAGAGCCATCAATCCAACAGCATCACACGAAAGCCACAAAGACCTACGAGATGAAGAGAAGCAGACCGACCGGTCCATCTGCCCCTGAATGGGCTGTTCTGAGGCTGGTTCATAGGATTGGCAAAAGAGGTAAATTCCTTTTATGTCATCAGCCGAGATGGCACTGTACCCAGGGAAGGACCAAGTGATTAACAAGCTCCTGTGTCCGAGACCACAAGGTGGAAAAAGACAATCTGCCCTGAACAGGGCAGGGAATGCACTGGTGGCTCTCAGTTGCCACAGGTGGGACAGACAACCAGAGATCTCTCAAAGGACTGGGACACAAAACTGCTGAAGCGGGGTCGGAGGCGAGTTCAGGACGCGCAAAGCACCTTGCTTATCATCCAGAGTTCAGTTAGAGCTTGTTTAAATTCCACCACACAGACCACGAGACAACTGATTGTCCTCCCTGCAAATCTTAGCTGCATTGTTTCAGAAATAAAGCTGAAAACAAGGAGAGAGAGATAGAGAGAGAGAGAGAGAGAGAGAGAGAGAGAGAGAGAGAGAGAAATAAGACCTATGATACCTATCTCAGTGAGTGGGAATATGTCATATGATTCATAGGCAGTAGATGGCATAGTGCTAAAATATAATGACAATGCTATAAAAGACTGCCAACAGGTGAGGAGGAAACGGAATTAGCAAGTAGCTGCGGGCATGGCCAATACACATATGGATAAGAAAGGGCATTGGGACAAGGCTCTGTGGATACAGTGCTTCCTGTACAGCATGAGGACCTGAGCTCAGACCCCAGCACCAGCATGGAACGAATCGATTTTGTCTGCTAACCCCAGCCCTGGGGTAGTGAGTGAGTAGGCAGGTGGATCCTACGAGCTCCCTGGCCAGCCTGTGTAGCTAAAACAGGCAGCTCCAGCTCCAGGGAGACACCTTGTCTAAAAAAAAAAAAAACCAAGGGGACCACTAACAGAGAAAGGTACTTGATATTGACCTCTGACTTCACCATGCCTGTACATACATGTGTTCATCCACAAATATTAAACTCTGACTTCACTATCCCTGTAATACATATATTCATCCACAAACACATGTACATGCCAAGCAAATAAATGAGATGAGTACGTTTATTTATAAAAAAGAGATAGAAGAAAGATTTAGAGATAATAAAAATTATATGTATATATGTGTGTTTGCACACACACACACACACACACACACACACACATATATATATATTTAAGAAGAAGGGGAAAAAAACCTTGAAAAAACAGTGTTATGAAAAAGTCTTGCCAGGGGATAGAGACATTCATATCTGCATAGTGCTACATACCCATAGCTGGTCATCCATGCCTGGAGGGTTCTTTTTGATGAAAGCACCGTAGTATGTTGCAATGTTCCTGTGATGAGAATATTTCTTCAACATGTTAATTTCTTGTTTGATTTCCTCCTCTTCGTCCTGTTTTGCAACAATAAATAGTGGGTGTGAAAATCCAATTACTTGGAGAATTCTATTCAATACTACAAACAGCCATGATGTATTATCAGTCTTTTCCTTAGCTGTTTAAAGAGGATCGTTATGTTGTTTGATTAAGAATGAAAATGTTTACAACATAACTCAGTGGTGGTTCCGTGGGGTCTTCTCTTTGTATAGCTAAAAGACAACATGTCATCAGCTGGAGGGACAGAAGAAAGTCTTTACCTAGAGGCTACCAGATAAGACCTGCAGTCAGCTAGAGGAAAGCGTCTCTCTCTGGTACTCAAGCCGATCACATTCACCTGGGGAAGGCCGAGGACAAAGAAAGGGAAAACACACGATCTCAAATTTACATTTTGTTAGGCACAGTTTCTTTGAGGTGTCCTTTTATTGAAGTGCCTTGACTGAAGCCAATGAAAGCCAGATGGGAGAGGGGGCAAGGCGAGTTCTCAAGATCTGAAGGAGTTCACAAGCGGGAGTCCTCATCCCCTTCAGGAAGCTCAACATGAAAGAAGAGGGGGAAACACAGTGCGGACATAAAAGACTCCACAGAGAAAGTTTCCTGACACACAGGTCCGTGCAGTTCCCACTTAGAGTCTACTAACTTGATCCTGGAGGGCACACGTGTGCACTCCACAGTCTGACCTTATGTGTGTGTGCACTCCACAGTCTGATCTTATGTGTGTGTGCACTCCACAGTCTGACCTTACGTGTGTGTGCACTCATAATCTGACCTTATGTGTGTGTGCACTCACAATCTGACCTTATGTGTGTGTGCACTCCACAGTCTGACCTTATGTGTGTGTGCACTCACAATCTGACTTTATATGTGTGCACACTCCAGTTGCACTGCAGAACAGTGTGTTTCCTTTCTGAACTTGGTGGGAAGCCTCTGCACCAGAGCAACTGAGACAGGGTGGTCATGAGCAAGATGTCATGCCGTCATGACTCAACCAACTGTGCCATGTGTCTTCGCACCTTTGAGCTTCCATCTGTTAGCCTGCATGTGGACAATTCAGGGTCTTTCCAGAACCTCCTGTGCACGCTCTTTTCTTCCCTTCCCATAACTTTAACATGTTAATACCGAGGAACTTGATTTCTACTCCCAAAGATGGATGTCTTCCTTGATGCCCCAAGGCCACGTCAGGGCCCCACTCATAAGTCCTGCCATCTCCCCATATTATTCTTCACACTGAATGAGGTGTGTATGTGTGTGTGTGTGTGTGTGACCCTGTGCTGTAATTGTACTGATACTTTGGTGTCTATTCCATGCTTACTCTCTTCTGCTTTATATATCAGCTCTAATGTTTCTTCCCAGAAGAGCCTCCTGATCTGCCTGCCTTGGTACTAGCCACCTAGATTATATGACCCTTGTAACTCCCATTCAGCTTTTCAGCTCCTACCCATCCATTATCACCACAGAAATCTTGCCTGTATTTGTTCAGTATTTCATCCCCGGTACCAATCAAAAGTCCCGTTTATGTGTGACTGCAGAAACAAATGCCTGCGAGAGGGCCAGCACTAGGAGCAGAAGTAGGGTTGGCCAGCTGAACAGATGACAATAGAAGGAGCGGAGTGACGAAGGGGAGCATTGCCCAACCACACCAGGACAAAACATAACAACAAACAAAACAAGTTTACTGGGAGAAAAAAATAACTAGAAAATTGTAAGCTTAGAACAAAAGCACATACATCATGTAGCTTAACTAAATAAAGAAAAAAACTAGGTAATCCAAAATAGATCAAGAGTTGGGGTGCTGAGCTAAGGAGGTGCATGGCTCTAACAGCACCAGGGACCAGGGGGAAGGAGCTGGGCTGGTCGCTGAGGCAGGAGGTAGATGATTCATCGCTGACCAAGGTATTCCTCCCTGCAGCTGCTGCAAAGACCCCATTGCTTCAGTGCCAGCCTACAGAGAGAATGACTTTGGAGACCTTCAGGTTCTTGGGGGTCCTGGCATGCTCACTATACTGTGGTGGAAATCAGTTCTTCTTATTCTCTGTGTAGGATGTGAGCCTCTTTCCACTTGGGGAGCCTCGTTATAAGGAGAAAGAATCATCCTGAGGGTACTGGTGGCTACTTCCATTAAAAGGGAATTATGCAGGTAATGAAAGACATAGATCACTTCAGCTGCACCCAGCAGACTCACTCGAGGCTGTACTTGAAATCAGGCAGGCTCTACAAGTATTTGCAGCCTGCCTCTGGGTTCTCGACAAGATCGTGCGTGATGGATATGCCTGAAGAGGGCTGACAGTCTCATTAAGAAAAGTGAAGCCCCAGTGTCATTCAGTACGTAATTAAATCTCAAACAAGTAGAATGGAAGGCAAGAACAGGGGCTGCATCACTATGTAAAGGTAAACTGAGCAGACTGTGGCCACGAAGAAAGCACCAATACTGAGTTTGTGGTTAGAACAGTGAGATAGGGTAGGTAGTATACATGCTAAGTTTGGAATCAACCCTTTCTGAGTCACAGAACTCAGAACAGTAACTTACTGTTTTGGAACTGGGTTTTCAAAACTATAATGAAATGCAGATATTACAAGTTGAGTTTTTGTGCTGGCTAAATAAGATATATGAAGGTTACAAAGTGAGACACAAAATAAACATGGTGGCTAGCCCTAGCATCAATGATAACACAACCAATAGGGAACAAGGTTCATTCAGCAGGAGCATCAGTCACTTGAATTTGAAGTTTAAGTTGCATTGTTTCCAAACACAATTATGGGGCTCTGGATCTAGAACCAGTATGTAGTCCCAATACATAACCTTGATCTCAACCGTCGATGGCCTTCTAAGTGAGCATGTCACTCATTACAGCTTCCAGGCTACAACTGACAACAGGAGCTCATACAGCTACACTGCAAGCATTTCAGCCCCATAGTGTGCCCCTGGGAGAGCAGGGAGACACAAGACTTCCCAAGAGATAAAGAGCAATTGAGGCAAAAGCTGGATGCAACAAGGCTTATGTTTTTGCTTTGTGTTGTGTGTGCCAGTGCCCACACTTGTGTCCATGTGGAGGTCAGAGGACACCTTTAGGTGCCATTCCACAGACTCCACCCACCTTCTCTCACTGACCTGGACTGTGGCCAACAGGCTAAGCTAGATATTCAGCAAAGCCAAAGAATCCACCTAGTTCCACCTTCCAGCACTGGGATTACAAGCATACGCTAACACACTAACATGGGTTCTGGGGATGAGCTCAGGGTCTTACGCTTGCAACAGAAGCCCGCTACTGACTGAACTCTCTCTCTCTCCTCAGCCTTAGACTCAACAGTTTCAATTGGAGGAACACCCTCTGCTGTGTAAATGAACTATTCTTACATCCTAAGCCATAAGCATAGAGGACAAGCTCGCTGGAAAATTAATGGCTACTGGATCACACTGAAAATAGAATAAAGGCACCGAGTTGTCTCCGCTTTAAGGAAAGGGTAATCTAACAAGCCAAGTCCATTAATCTACAAAGCTCTCTCACTTCAAACAGAAGACTTCAAAATTTAGTCTATTCATTGTGTTAACTTCAGGCATGGCATTTAAACTCTCCTGGCATTGGTTATTTCCAGCTATGGATGTGAATAGGAACTACTGAAGCTGCTTCAGAAGTGATGAGTGCTTACTCGAGCATAGCTTTCCTATTAATGCAAAAACCATGTGGCCTCTTATCAGAGGGATCTACTCAGCGTCTGGTGATTGTGGTAAACTGAGAAGAAATGAACATAACATTTGGCTCCTCCTCCCCACAATCAAGAGTTCATTACACTTCTCCTTGAAGCCGAACCTGGCAGGTAACTAGTATGGCCAATGGGATATTAAGAAATGTGCTTTGCCAGAACCCGGAGGCCAGCCATCTCCAACAGCACGCAGAGGACTGTGGTTCTAAACTGTAGTGAAAACCAGTTTTATGTACTGTTCACTATATGCCAGGAGCTGTATGAGCACAATGTTAATACTCAGAGGGCATCTACACCATATTAACATTTATTATTATTGGTAGTCGTGGCAGTGACGGTATCAGCGATTTGTATGTGTGTGTTGCTGCATGGGTGTGAGCATACTTGTGTCATGAACATATGGAATTAGAGGACAACATTTTGGAGCGGGTCTCTCATTCTTCCCTTGTATGGGTTCCAAGGACTACAGTTTGAACTTTTACTCTCTGAGCTCTGCGCTGGCTCTAGGGTTGTGTTCCTAATGACCCCAAGTAGCTCTATGAAGGAGCTGTTTCTAAGGATTTGACTTTAGAAATGAGGTCAATAGGACCCAGAGAGGTTAGGTAACTTCCTAACTCTAATATTTACTCACAGTAAATGTTAGAGCGCTGATTCTCTTCTATATGTGTCAGGATCCCAAAGCCAGTGATCTTAATTTTATAAAGATAACTCTTAGAAATGGGCAATTACCCATACTGACTAAACCAAAGCACCAAACAGAAAAAGCTTAGAAACATACTTCAGCTGGGTGAGAGAACCTGACTTAGGTCCCCCAGTGGAATGAGCTTGTTAATGTATGAAAATACTTGCTTAGATCACATGGAATAATGAGGGGGGTTATTATTGTGTATTTATATCACAGGGAAATGCTGCTGAAGCATCTGAATATGGGGATTTTAAACTGAAGCCAATAAAATGTCTAATATTCTTGTGCTCTAAAATAAATAATTTGCCCAATGTCTAACTCTCAAACCATGGAACAAGAATAAGACTGTACCAAGTCTATAGGGAAATAAAAGTTACATGAATTCATAAATCCCTAAACAACCAGGCTATTGCCAAGAGAATAAGTTTCTCTCCACAAACTGACAGCAAGGCCCCATTGCTGAATACAACACCCACACAACTCATTGAACAAGAGAAGTCAAGGTGGTGCCTACACAGAGCTTTCAACCCTATGTCCAAGTGTCTTTGGTGCAGGAAGGTACTCTGCAGGCTACCAAAAGAGAAATGTAAACACCAACCCAGCCACAAAACCTTCCATCTACAATCCATC